GAATGAGTTGTGGGCTCAAACGGTTCCAAGCTTCTTGGAGAGCTCTCTTCAGTTTTGTAACGGAGCTTGGTGAGTGCGAAAGGGCTGCAATTTGTCTCCCGAGCATATCCCATACATGCTCAACAGGATTTAAATCAGGGGAGTTCGCAGGCCACGACATGCGCTGGATGTTTTTCGTTTCAAGGAAGTCATCAATCTGCACCGCTCGGTGACATGGCGCATTATCATCCATGAATATGAAGTCAGGACCGACAGCACCTCGAAACAAGCGAACATAAGGCTCAAGAACTTCGTCTCTGTATATTTGAGCCGTCACAGACCTTGTGTCAAAGAAATGGAGGTCTGTGCAGCCGTCCATCATGATGCCTGCCTATACCATTACTCCCCTTGATGGAAAATGATGTCTTTCCATTATGTTTCTTGGTTTAAAACGTGTTCCACGTTCTTTCCATATCGTTACCCGCCGAGAATCACTACTCAGACTAAACTGGGACTCGTCACTGAACATCACATTTGCCCACTCTCCCATACTCCAGTGTTGATGTTTCAAACTCCAGTTCAAATGAGCGCGTTTATGCGCAGACGTGAGGGGAATGCATACAGGCCATCAATGGTCTTCTGGCATACAGGCCAGCATGATTGAGTCTCTTGTAAACAGTTTGTCTCGAAATTCGTATTCCTGTAGCGACTGTGATCGCCGAACCCAGTGCTCTGGCATTACTGCCCCTCTAACGTCGCGCACTTATTACCAGATATCGGTCTTGGCGAGGGGTTGTGACCCTTGGTCGACCTGATACTGGTTGTCGGGTAACATCTCCCGTTCTTTGAAACCTCTGCCACAGTCTTGAGATCACAGACTGGTCCACATTCAGAATTCGAGACACTTCGATTTGGGATCGTGAGGATTCTTCCTTTCATAAACATGTCCAATTGGCGTCTTTGTGCCATCATTCACCTTGTTTGATGGTTAACAACGTTCCTTCGCACAGCAGTTGCACGAAACTTGTCTGAACTGCCTATGCTGCTTGAATCGGTTTCTCCGCGTACCGACATGCGCCGGTGTTTCGCGCAGGACGTAGTCGACTGAAAAGTTTTGCATAAACCCAATGTTTCTTCTTCCCCCAATTAATATCCGCAAGGAATTTGGAATAATTTTACGAATATTTACTCCATGTTTTTCGCATTTTACGATTTATGCTTAACTTTTGGACAGAAGTGTATGTTAATATGTATCGGATAGTAAAAAATATGTGTTAGGAACATATTATTTTAACCTAGAGACTGGCTATATTTTGGGACTGTGAATGAATTTTTTACCTAGTCACATACTTATTTATTATTATTATTAGAAAACTAAGAAGTAAAAAAGTAGTAAATTAATGGAATGTGGGAAAATAATACAGACGCTTAAAATACTGTGCAGTAGTTATTTTTAAAACAGGCCTTGCCACAAATCATGTTTTAACAATTCCCACTTTAAAATTGAAGAGTATAATTTTGAAGTTGTTGACACTTAGCTAGGTTCGGAAATTAACAATAGAAACGATTGTACTACTGAAATCCAAACAGGAATTACTGTGGCTAATGGACGTTTTAATGGAATACGAAAATATATGAACTCGAATTTAAACAAAAGAAAAACAAAGGTTTTATTGTATAAAAGTCTTTTAAGGTATCCGACTACCCTAAAATTGTGAATTTTGCCAAAAATTGACAATTTTTATGACTTTATTTCATAGACCATCTTATTAGCTTTACAAAAATACCAAGTTTATCATTTTCCGTTCACTAGAACAAAAACTACAAGTGTTTTAGTAAAAGCTGATGCCATTACTTTAAGCAAGATGCCACACTTTAAAAAACGCGTTTTACTCGAAATGTCATTTTTTGAAAATAATTAAACGGGGTCAGCGATTGCTGAAAAGTTTTGAAAATAATTAACTGAAATTTTTTGTGTAAGTTCTGTATAATAGTAGAGTGTTTTAACCTTCAGATTTATTAATCACTGTTTTATTACAAAATTTACAGTCCCGTATGTGAATATAATCACTGTTTTTTTTAAGCAATTTCATATAGTAACTGTGATAAAGTGCTCTAGTTTTTGTAAAAATTAAAATATCTCTTATCCTGAAGGTCCTTTCGACAATGAATAACATAGCAACACATCAGAATTGAAAAATTGAAAATTTGTTCATAAACCTTTGGTACAGAATGGGCCGCGTTTATGTTATTTTTATCAATTTTTACCCATTTTCCCCCCTGTTAGTTATAATAATTTATTTTTCTCTTCTTAACTTTAGCATATTTTTCTTTAAATGTACTAAAAAAATCTAAAAACAACAAAAAAATCCACATATCTCCATTTTTTTTAAAAAAAAAGGTGTCGCGACCAGTCGGATACCTTAAGATCAGTATTAACTTATGCGTGTGAAACTTGGTCCATGTCTCGAACAGATGAGAACATGATAAGTATCCACAAAAGGAAGATTTTGCGATATATTTTTGTAGAAATTCAGGAAAATGGAACTTGGCGAAGAAGATCAAATTTCGAGCTCTATCAATCATATAAAAAATCCGACATCGTTAACCTTATCAAAATACAACGAATTAAATTGGCAGGTCAGAATGGACGAAGACCGCACCTCTATTAACTTCAATGCCCAACCAATTGGCACACGAAGAAAGGGCAGGCCAAATCTTTGATGGATTGATGGCCTAGAAAAAGATCTCCTAGTTTTGATTACAGTATCGGGAAGAAAGCTGGCCTGGAAAAATCTTCTTGAGAAGGCCAAGGCCCACACTGGTTTGTCGAGACACTGAGGAAGAAAGGAAGTTATATTTTTTAAATTATATATTTACCGTAAAATCCGACGTAAGACACACACTTCGATTACAAAAAATATGATGGAAATTTACGGGTGCGTATATAAAAAGGATAGCTTCAAAAATAATAATAATAAAAGAGATGAGCGTAAGAAACAGTTGACATCTACATGAATCTGAATATTGTTTATTTAAAAGAAATGACGTACCTAATCAACTTAAAGGGTTGTAGTTCTAGAAGTATACTATTTTTTCAAAAGTCTGGGATAATACCTAGGGACGTCTTAAGGCATAGGCCAGGGCCTCACCCAGTGGCGTTTATCCATTGGGCGCCCAGGGGCCCGGACTTAAGGTAATAAATTTCGATCCGCCAGTGCGAAAGGGACCCGTAGATCTTCTACGCCCAGGGCCTGAAATGAGCTTAAATTGGCACTGTAATGCATTCTAAATGTAATTTTAGGCATTTATCATCTAAGCTTTCTTTTGAAGCTTTTTTAATAACTTTGTACATAGGATCCATGCACGTGGCGCCATCTGCAAGTACCATGTTAAAGCCAACGAAACTTGACGGCAGAAAATCCTGAAAACAAGGATACATATTTTTTTTTTCGAAATTTTTAAGTTTCTAAACTATTTTCCTGACATTTCTACGTTTCAAACTTGATTTAGTTAAGTTACTCAGCATGTTTCATATATAGGTAAAATGATTTCATTATGCTAAAGCAGTGCTGGTTTATCCATTGGTCACTTGGAGTGGGCTCCCTGGGACCGGAAGGACTCGAAATGGCCCGGATAAGCTGGACTTAATCAGGTTTTTTGGTAATATAATTTCGATCCGCCTGTGACAAGTGGGTCTCTAGATCTTCTGTGCCCAGGGCCCGAAATTAGCTTAAATCGGCACTGGCCTCACCCTCGGTGAGGACCTCGTTTCGTTCTCGACTATAAGATCACGACCCAGGTAGTTTTAATGATCAAATATTATTCCCTTACATATTCTCCGAAAAACGGGAATTTCAAACTGCATGTCAACTGGCAAAATGGCAAGACAGTATTTTATGTAATGACCGTTGTTCATGCCTAAGCTTAGGCCTAGTACAAAAAAACAATCATTCAACTCATTTAGTCGAAATGCTTTTACCGAGACATGTTTTTGCCTTGTTTGATTGGTTTTTGCCTAGGTTTTTGAGATTGTGAATCGTGCACATATATTTGTTTCTAATCACCGTTTGAACGAGTATTTGACAATGCATGCCACAAGACCTTTAATTGCGGTGGTATCTCAAATAAGCCAGTAAAAGCCTCCGACAGGAGTGATCACTTCTGTCCAGTGGCCATGTTATTGGGCTTTGGATCCGAGCGTCGCGGGTTCTAATCCAGCACATTGGTGGCCTTGGCTGAAAAGAAAAAACGCAAACCTTCTGATGTGTCATGGCGCCATCTACCCTCAAAAAGAGCAAGAAAATTCGTCAGACTGACTCTACGCAGCAAGCAAAGTCGTCAGACTCCCTTGACTCAGCAAAAAGCCGTCAAACTCACTTGACGCAACAGTAACAACTCACACGCTCGCCATTACAACAAATATCTCGTTCGTTCGCCTATCTACCGACTCACTGGTAGGGGAGTACTGTGGCGGTATCTCAAATAAGCCAGTAGCAGCCTCCGGACAGGAGTGATCACTTCTGTCTAGTGGTCATGTTACTTGGCTTCGGATACGAGCTTCGAGGGTTCTAATCCATCACAGTCTCAGGTAGGGCCTACTTATCCATAGGGGCTCAGGGTCTCAAAGAATCTCAGGACGTCTCTGATAATACCTCGAATAAATGATTTCGAAACATAAGTATATTTCACACTTTCACATTTGAGGTTCTTTCGAAATAAAATAATATTAAAAAAAAATTAAGTCAATTCCTAATTAGGTCAACAAAGAAACATTTTATTTTATTTACTTTTTATTAAATAGTTACAATTAATATAAATATGTATATACGTATGACAGAATCACAATATTAAGTGACGAAATAGAAAGCGATTTTCCTTGCAATTTTCAATTTTCCTTTCTATATAGGATGTTGGACTATTTTTTGTTTATTTGTAACTATTGTATTTATTCATTAATTAAATTTAGTTATTCTAATGAAACAGTACATTAAAAAAGAAATCAGTCTCAGAAATTAAGCCATCCCAGGTAGGATTCGATCCCACGATCTTTGGATTACGCGCTATTCATTGCGCTACAGGGACAAAGCGAATGAATTTCCTTTCTATATATGCTGTTAGATTATTATCTTTGATTGTTACTATTTATTCATTTTTTAATTTAATTAATGAATTAATATTTGAAAAAACTGTATTAACATCAAGTGTCATCCACTACAAGTTTTAAAAAATGTATTTGAACTTGAATGGATGAATAGAAAGTATTTTATTAACTATTGAAAATTTGAACAAGATATATAAATTATATCTTGTATCTCTATATTATATATAGGGAGAGAATGAACTATAGTAGGAATTGAAAAAAGAGGGTGGGCGTTGTACGGTGAATATACCTAAAAATTAAAAATGTAGCTTGAAAGTATAGGTGCGCGATATACGCCGGATTTTACTGTAATAATTAATCCTAACATTTTTGGGGGAGGGGTCCTAACCAGCACCCCTCTCCCTCTGTCCGGCACGTCTCTAGGTGTGGGGGAGGGAAACAAAGCATCACCAACAAACTCCATAATAACAATTAGATTTATTCAGATTTGAACAAACACTTAAACAATCACAAGTGAAACTACAAGAAGGAACCTAGGAGTGATATCTAAAGCGTTGATTATTCTTATATTCAATTCTATGTAAACTCGACTACCAGAGATAGATAAGGAGAACAAACACTAATGAATCGATGGCCGATTCTGTTTATACTATCTTAAATCTTCAATCTAATCTCAGCAATTACCTTTTTAACGCGCGCTAGGTTTGTGAAGGAACTATTCCAATATTAGCACTTACGTGACGGCTCATGGCTCCTCTTCTCTCTTTACATCTACAATACCTAGACTTTATATAGTCGAACTTGAAGTGGCGCATTTATCCGCTGGGATAGAACTCGGGACCTTTGGGTCCGAAACCGCGTAACTTAACCACTACACCAAAATGATCACCATGGTGCGGAGGTTGTTACTGGCTTATGTAGATGATACCGCTACATACTCCCCCACCAGTGAGTTGGTGGATAGGCGAACGAACGATATATGTGTTAAATCGAGCGTGTTTGCTGCTGCGTCACTAGTTGTGACGGCTTTCGTTTAACGCAGCCTTCATCAGGAGCAAATACCGGTGCACTCCACAGCACAGCCTGTAACAGAACATTATCGTACCGGCATATCACAGCGTCTTAACTTCCCGCGGCATTGGTGACCCGGACGTGCGCTATAAACTAATTAACATATCTCGTGTTCTTCTTGAAAGGCTGTGAATTAATGTAAATGCTAGCCCCAAAGTTTCTCCAAGAGGATTAGTAAGAATATCTCGCGAATAGACCCGTCACACATTAAAAAGCATAATATGAAAAAATCTTTAACATACAATAAATCAGCTATGAATAAATATATTTGAATGAAACTTAGTGAAGTATTTAATTATTTCGTAAAATACAAGCAATGATCTTCAGTAATTAAATGATCGAGCCGAGAAAAAAGATTATTTCACTATCACGGTGAGAAAAAACAAATCGCTTAGGAAAATATGAGAGGCATGAAATTTCTTAAATGATTATCAGTCTTAAGACTCTCAGGAAAAAGGATATATTCGCGTCATTCTGACCACCTGATTGGAACGTCTGCTCATGCACCTCAGGGCCCAAGGTTTCGTATACTGATATGGGTACAGTAGACCTTGGCCTTTATGGGCTGTTTTACCATTGAGTTAAGTTAATTATTTATATTCATATTTTAATTTAACGAGAAAATAAAATGAAGGCAAAATTTCTTTATGCATTAAGAGAACCAGGACATCATATACTTTCAAAAAATCAATTTTTCAAATTTAGTTCTAAAAAGTAGTGCATATTTTTCTGAACATAAAAATGTATAACACTTATATGTTTGTTGATAAAATAGCCCTAAAATATGAAAAATAAAAGTGTAAACAAATGACTACGCCCCTTATGACCCTTAGTTTTTTCACTTTTTCTCAAAAGCATATTTTTTTGCATTTTTTAAGGTACATTTTTTAAATACATTTTTAAGGTACATTTTTTAAAAAAAACTATTGCACTATAAGATTCCAGATTTTTTATACTTATATACAAGATGCCTATGCATATAGTTAACCTAATTTTTTTCTATTAAAATAGTGCCTAAATTTTTAAAAATGGTTTTATGCAAAAAAAAACAGAAAAATAAAAAATTTCCAAATTTTAACGCTTTATAATTTTTTTAAAGAAACTATACTAAATTTTCACTAAAAAAATAGGTTCACACTGTCTTTTGTGTATTGTTTTATATATGTGTAAAAAATATTTTGCAAAAAAAAAAAAGATACTTTTTTAAAAAATGGTACCTAAACATAAGTATGTATTATGTGAGTTCTCAAAAATTATGTAATACTTAAATTAAGTAGGAAAAAAAAACTTCTGAACTAAAAAGTTATTTTTGTAGTTCTACAGAATAATTAAATTATCTTTATTAAGAACTTAAAATATCTAAGCTCTATTGAAAATTTTAAAAGATATATGTCTCATAAACAAAGGGTCTTAATTTTGGCATTTTACACTTCCGAGCATGTCCTGGTTCCCTTAAACTTCAACTTACTTCTCTCCCAATAGTTAAGATTTTTCTTGATAGGGTTTCAGATAAATTTCAAATAACGTGTTAAATTGAAAGAAATAGCAATAGTGATTGGAAGAACATTCTGCATGGACCACACTAAAAAATCAATACATATACAGTCCTTTTTTTTTGTTATGAATTTGTTCATAACTGTAAAGTACACTGGTGTAAGAAATTAAGAGAATTTGCAGACTTGATGGATTATCTCTAGAACTACTGAAACGATTTTAATTAAATTTGATATGTACATACATTGATACGATACAAAAGAAATAACAATTCATCAATTGCAATATACACGCATGATCGTGCGCAACACTCGTTGGCGTTGGAAGGTATGAAACAGCAGTTGCAGAATAGACAAAAGAAATGGGTTAATAAGGGGTATGGCTCTTTCTTACAGCTATAAAGACTTCGCAGCGTGATATCATTCTTGAAATAAGACAGTTTATCAGTTCTTGTGTCAATTGGTCCCACTCGTTCAGCAACGCTGTTTTCATTTCCTGGATGATTCTCGGAGGAGTTTGCGAGTTGCAAATGACCTCACCAGAGCGTCCCAGACTTTCTCTTTAGGGTTGAGGTCTGGAAACCTGGCTGGCCAGTCCATACAGCGAATATCCTCACTCTCTAAAAATTCATTGACCACAAGAGCTCTATGGGGTTTTGCGTTATTGTCCATTGAAATAAACTCGGGGCCACGTGCACCCCTGAAAAGGCAAACATATGGCTCCAAGACCTCATCCCTATACCTCACACAAGTCACAGAGCCTCTTTCAAGGCCATCCAACATGATGTCTTCCCAGACCATTAAGCCTCCTTTGCTATAATTGTCGATTTCGGGACATTATAGGAGTAGGTAGCTAGTCTCTGGTTCTCTCCATATGAACGCATGGCGAGAATCGGTGTTTAGGCTTAAACGGGACTCATCGGTGAACAGAAAAGGTCGCCCATTGATCCATACTCCAATCTCTATGCTGTCTGCACCATGCTGAACGGACTCTCCTGTTCGTAGACGTGAGCGGGACACAAACAGCAGGTCTTCTGGTAAACAACTCTTTCTCAAGATGTCTTTTTGATACAGTCACCCTTGATAAATAGGTTCCTGTGGCTCCGTACAAGTAACGAGAGAGCTGAGAAGCTGCAGCCCCTCTGTTACGCCTCGCTATAATTGACAAATGGCGATATTTTCTGGTCGTTGTGGCTCTTAGACGACCTTGCTCAGGCTTTCTCTCGATGGATCCAGTATCCTGGAACTCTTTCAATAAGTTACACACGACACTGGACGTTAAATTGAACTCTCTACAAATCTGGGCTTGACATTGGTCTGCTTCTAGCCTCCCAACAATTCACCACCTCATTCCATCATCTAAACGTTGGTGGTTACTCATTTTTATTGTTACAATTTGAATTGAACTAATTGCTTCAAAATAACACCAAGAAATTTGCCGAGGTGTGCTGGCGAACGAAATACGTCTTAACTTACACGCGCTTATAAAGACTGTTTTTCTGCTGGCTCCACCTACACACACGTATACAATTAAATATTTGCCGTGCAAGATTTGCAAATGGTTTTTCATTCAGTTCATTTTTATTTGTGCAAGTCGATAAAATATGCAAATTCTCCTAATTTTATTTCATCATTGTATGAGCTGACAAAAAAAGTAAAATTATACGTAATTTCCCATTTATATATTTGTAAAAAGATATCTTTAAATAATTTTCCTTCGTATTTAAAAGAGAGTGATTCATTGCCTTGCAAAAAAAAAAAAAAAAAGACGTAAAATTTATAGTTGGTTCAAAGTATTAAAATTTAAAAAAAATTAAGACAGGAAACGAGATTGCTCATATAATACTGCTGTTCAACCTACTCTAGTATTATATTCAGAATCACTGAAATCGAAAAAACACGGACATACTACAAAAAGAAAATTTTTTCGAGTGTATCTTCTCCCGTATGATTATCTCATAGCTAGCATGTCATGGGTTCGATCCTAGTACCACTAAAGAACCGCCGTGTAGGGGAGCGATGCACGTTAAATCTGTCGAGAGTTCAAATGTCCTCCCGTTGGTGTGGTGCGGTAGTTAGGAGAGGGGGTGCCAGCTCAGATGTCGTCCGCGTTACTTGACCATGGTTCAAAATTACGCGGACCGTCGCCAAAAACCCTCGTGTTGTTAATAAGTGCGACGTTAATATTCTCTCACTCACTCACCCATATGATTATCACAAATCGGCTGCTCTCAAGGACACTGGTACACCTTGGCGAGCAATCTTATACTAGAAAAGAGAATTTGGCGATGGAAAGCCTTTGACCCACTTAAGTGAAGTACTTTTGAAATAAAAATCATAAAAAAGGTCTAATTTTGAAATCAAGGAATGTTAAGAAGTAATAGGTACTTTCTTTTTTCAGGGAATTATTTATTTCT